CAGAATAAAAATAAAAATAATTACTTCTGTAAAGTTATATTGAAAATATTTTAAAATAATGATGCATATTCTTTTGAACTTTCAAGATTTTCTTTAAATATTTTGTCAATGATTCTTTATTATTATTTATGTATGACTGTTTTTCTTGCATGTGAGTGCACTGGTGTCGTGCAGTGCCCTCAGAGGTCAGAAGAAGGTTTCAGATCCCTTGTAACTGGAGTTAGAGATGGCTGTTAGCCACCATGTGGGTGCTAGCAATTGAACCTGGGTCCTCTGCAAGAGCAGCCAGTGCTCTTTAACACTGAACTCTCCAGCTCCTGAATCTTCAAGATTTTCATAAATAAGATAAGAAATTAAAAACGTTTCCATTTCACAAATCCTGACAAAAAGTTACATTTCCCAATATGGGCAGGAATAGAGGATTCCCTGTTAAGCTGTGATCTTTAACACTACTGATCATTTCCTTCTTTTAATAATCATGTCGTTTAATGGTAGATTTCCTAATGCAAAAAAATTCTGTGAATATAAGGTTTGTGTAGATTTTGAAAAAGATTTTTTTTTTGAGGGATTCACTAATTTTCTCTCTACTCCCTGTTCCTCTGTGTTTATAAGTCTTAGATGTAGAGGTTCCACTGTAGACGTGTTACCTAGGACTGGGCATCTCTCAGACGTATATTCTCTGTCTCTGACCAGTTGTGGTATTCTGCACTAGCCTCCATCTGCTGCAGAAAGAAGCTTCTTTCATGAGTGGTGTACTGCATGTTTGTCTGTAAATATAAGGATCCATATTTAGTACATGGTAAAAAATTTTATTTGTCCAGAGGTATGACAGAGATAGTGTTTTCTCTAGGATTTATGGCTTCTCCAACCATGTGTATTTAGCTGTGTTTACAGTGCCACCCATGAGTTCATTCCCATTGAGAGGGCTTTAAGTCCAATTAGATAGCTCTTGATTACTCCTCACTGCTGTACCAGTAAAGGTAGTTTGCTGTGCTGGTCATTATGATTATTGGGCTGTAGGGTTGGATTGGAATTGGACCATTGGATGATTTTCTACCTTAAAACTTACATAGCATCCTCTAGAACTATGAAAGCAAATCATCAGAGAGAATTCCAGTTCAGTTCCTGCAATATTGCTCCAAGCCCTGTGTCAGAATTATGTCCTGTGTTAAGTAGTAGGATCTTATCTTCTAGCACTGGGGGATAGCCAAGAGTTCTGGCAATAACCTGTGTTATTTTGGGAGTCTCCTGAACCACTCTGACTAACCAGCACTTGATACTATTTCATGCTCAGATCTTAACTTAATGAGAAATACTTTTTGGCTATTCCATATATGACACTAAGTTCTTATATGACACTGAGTTCCACATGACTAACTCATGCCCAGTGGCCTCACTAACCATTTATGGCCATTTCTTTTCTACCAATTTTCTGGGAATTTTAAGTTTTGCCACTTTCCTAGACCCCAAGTGGAAAGCCAGATAAACATATAATCTATTTTCTGAGTTAAGGGGTTCTATCACAATGACACTGAACTGGTTAAAATGGAAGGTTCTTTCTTAGAAAGCCAAATCAGAACCTAATTTGTTTGTTCTTTTCTTAGCCCATCAAGGGAACTTTATCCAGGATGGTGTGGGTCTGACTGAAATGCATTCTGCTTTGTGGTCTCAATAGTCACAGACTATAGCAAGAATATTGGTAGCATCTTCCCATATTTGCACTTGCAATGTGTGGATATGTATAATTTAATTATTTCAATTAACACTTATATGAGGTGTTTAGTGCACCTAGGCTTTAAACAGTCAACAGTGAATACTCATTATTGGAAAACAGAAAAACAATCAGAAATGCTGTTTCTTCTATTGTTGCTGCTGTGTTTGTTTTTATTTTCACATAAACACTAAGCACTATGTTTAGATAACTGTGTATATAACTGTGTGTAACAGAGATAAATTGTGAGGCTTTTTTTTAACCACAACTAGTATTTGACACTTTAAATCTTATTTTTTATGCATAACATAAACTGAATGAATTATTATGAAGAATATTTAAGAATATAAAGATGAGGCCAGGACTAATGGCACCATGTTTACCAATAAAAGAAAGGCCCAATTTTTCCTTCCTTCCTTCCTTCCTTCCTTCCTTCCTTCCTTTCTTCTATGTGTTCTCTATAGGTGCTTTCTTTATGGCTCTACAGGACTTACATAAAACATTTTGCATTCATAATAATCTTTCAAGCTGATAACAACTTTAATTGTATGCACTCTACTTTCTTTTTTTTTCTCTTTTTGAGACAAGGTCTTCGTCAAATAATTACCTCTCCTTCCTTCCTTCCTTCCTTCCTTCCTTCCTTCCTTCCTTCCTTCCTATTTTACATGTATGTGTGCATGTATTACATGTATAAATGTCTGTGCATATGTACATGTGCATGGAAACCAGAGGTCGATGCTGATGTCTTCCTTAATCTTTTTGAAATCACTATTCTTACAAACATAATATTTTAATAATTTTTTGAAAATTTCACTATGCGTACAGTGTATTTTGATCCTATTCACCCCCTACTTCTCTTTAAGTCTTACCAGATCTACTGCCATCCCTCACAGTTTCCCAATTCATGTCCACTTTTTTTATTAATAGTTCAATGATTCCAGTTGGACTGCCCATGTGCTTGTGGGTGTGGGACCATCCACTGGAGTACAGTTGACCTACCAGTGGCCACACTCTTAAATAGAACTGGCCTTCCTTCCCCAGAAAAGTTTCATTTGTCACAGCTCCTCAGCTAGGGAAGGGGGTTCCTCAGACCTTCCACCCCACCACCTTCAAATTAGAATGTTGACTGGCTTCATCTTGTTTACAACTTTTAAACATTTTTTTTTTATATGTAGGAAAGTTCTGTCTGCATGTAATTAACGGCCCTCATGTTGAGCCATGCCAGTGGAGGCCAGAAGAGGGCACTGAATTCCCTTGAACTGGAGTTGAGGAGAGTTGTTAGCTGTCATATGGGTGCTAGGAACTTTACCCAGATCCTCAGGAAAAGCAGCCAGGACTCTTAACCTAACCACCCAGCCATCTCTCCAGTTCCTTGTTTTCATCTTTTAAAGACAATCACAGCTGCTATAAATTCATAAGGGCAGTGGTCCTGTCATATCCTTAAGATCCTGTTTTGGTCTAATCCTCCCTGTCTTCTGGCTCTAGCAATCTTTCTGCCACTTCTTTTCCAGTGGTCCCTCATAATTGGGTGAGGGAGGTATGATATATATGTCCCATTAGTGGCTGACCACTCCAGAAACACTTATTCTACATTAACTGCCCTTCACTGCACAAAGAAAAGTCTCTGATGAGGTCTGAGAGCTGCAGCAATCAATGGATATAGAGATAGGAATTTAGAGAGCAATTTAATTTTTTCCTTTTAGCAAAATATTAATAGTAGATTCATTCCTGGGGCCTGTGACTTATCCAACCGTGGGTTCTTGGCCAGATTTATAGTTCCAGACATGTGTTTTCTCCTGTGGAACAGGATGTAAATCCAACCAGAAAGCAGCTGGTGACCCCATAACACTTTTGCCAATATTGCGTCTTTCACCATATCTTATGGCACCATTTTTGTATCTCATGGAATTCGCCTCTAGATAAGACTGTTGACATTTTTACCCTAGAAGACTGCATATCACCTTCCACTGCTATGAAAGATGGCCCTTAGAGAGAAAGTTTCCTGTTTCATACTAATTTGATTTCTCTCTGTTTTATGACTTACACCAATGCTATCTGCTACAAGAAAATCCTTCCATCAAGTTCTGGGGGGCAACCAAGAGCAGTGGCAACAGCTTGTATGGTTGGGGAGGAGGGGCTCTGGGACACCCTTAGCAAATACTAGAGAGGAGGGACAGGGTGTTTTTTTCTTCAATATATAATTTTATTGAATTATGTGTTATTTCATACAATACATATTCATCATATTTAAACCCTCTCCTCTCTCTGCATCTTCCACAGCACTTCCACTGCTTTTCATGCATTCTGCCATACACAATAAGGCTTATTATGTCAAGTTTGTGTCCACAGATATTCCTCAGTGTGAGTACATCCACTGCAGCCTGGTCAGCCTATCTAGGGTCATACCCTTAAAGAAGACCAATTTTCCCTCACCTAGGG